TAGATCTCTTATTTAATTTTAAGTATTTTGTGAATTTTTTCTTATATTTCTTCTTTAGTATAAAGATAAATTGATAGTATATATATTTTTAATTTCCAGACATGCAAGATGTATATTTTTCATTTTATAATTGTTATTTTTAATTTTGTTTCATATGACAAGGGTGTATAGTGTGCATTATTTGTAACTATTAGGATTTCCCTTATATCTTAGACATGGCTTTTTTGTTGTTGTTGTTAAAGCTTTATATATACTTTAAAATAATCTGTATTTCCTATTTGGTGGATAGGAAGTTCTCTATAGAGCTACTGTCCTAAGGTTGTTAATCACATTCTTTATATTTTCTTTCTTTTTTTAAAAATTTTTAATGTTTTATTTATTTTTGAGAGAGAGAGAGCGTGAGTAGGAGAGGGTCAGAGAAAGAGAGAGACACAAAATCTGAAGACAGGCTCCAGACTCTGAGCTGTCAGCACAGAGACCGATGCAGGACTTGAACCCACCAACCCGTGAGATCATGACGTGAGCCGAAGTCGACGCTCAGCCAACTGAGCCACCCAGGTGCCCCTTTATTCTTTATATTTTCTGTAGTTCTGCTTATTTGTGTGCTTGGTCTGCTTCTGAAAGGATTATAAATTTTCGACTAAAATGCTGGTTTAAAAATTTTGAATTTTTACATAAATACAATAAAGTACAAAAATATATGTGTACAGCCCAGTGAATTATCTCCAAGTTAAAAAACTAATGTAATCTATACAGGTTGTTAAATAGCACATTACCAAGACTCTGGAAATGCCTTTGTATCCTGTCTCAGTCTCTAGTATCCACTTATCTCCAAAGAAAACCATAAGAGTTCTTACCCCATAGAGTCATTTGGTTGTTTTTTAAACATGTAAATTAAATCACATAGTATGTATTTTATTTTGCATGTCTCCTAACATTATGTGGGAATTTTCCATATTTTGGCACTTAGCTATTGTTACTTTTTTGTGTGTGTCTTTATTTTGCTGAATAAGTAAGGCGATATATCTATCCATTCTACTGTTTATGGACATTTGTGTTATTTTTATTATTGGCTATTATAAATAAAGCTACTATGAATATTTTCATCCATATCTTTTTGCACATGGATGTCCTGAATTTGGGGGGGTTATATTCCTAGGAATGGAAATTATTGGTCAGAGGGTATGTGTCTGCTTAACATTAGTAGATTCTACTAAATGACTTTGCATAACGAATGCAACACTTTGTACTCCCGCCAGCAGAGTGTTGCATCACACTCTTGACCACTCCAGCTGTTGTCACTCTTTCTCATGTGAGCCACTATTATGATGGGAATTAATATCACATTGTAATTTTGCTTTTAAATTCCCTAATGAGTAATAATGGTTTTGCAGTTTTTAAAAAATGCATTGACCATTTTATCAAGTGTCTGTTCAGATTTCTTGCCCATTTTCTATTGGGCTATCTGTCTTTTCCCTATCCATTTGTAGGAGTTTATCATTATGAATATGATATCTTTGCCAGCTGCAAATACTTTCTCTTATTTTATGGTTTGCTTTTATAAGTACCTAACCATGTCTTTTGATGAACTGAAATTCTTAATTTTAATATATTTCAATATATCTTTCTTTTATGATTAGTACTTTATATGTCCCTTTTAAGAAATCCCTGCTTACACCTGTTGAAGAATATGTTTTATGTCTTCTTTTAGATTAGCAGTGTCTGTTAGAACCATAATGTGAGCAAGAAATTTGTACCAAATTATAATTTTAATTTTAAGTAGCTGCATAAAAAATAGAATGAAACAGGTGAAATTAATATGAATAATACAATTATTAAGGAGATTATTTTATTCTTTTTTTTTTAAATAAGATTTCAAATTCTAGTGGATATTTTACACTTAGAGCACATCCCAGTTGGACTAGCCACATTTTAGATGCTGATAACCACATGTGTCTAATGACTATCATATATCATATACCAGCCCAGTTTAGAAGCTTTAATGATATGCCATTTACATTTAGCTCTGCCACTCGTGTTGGGGTGTGTGTGTGTGTGTGTGTGTGTGTGTGATAGAGTATCTTATCTAACAAGGAAACTATGTAGCTTATAGAATTAAAGGAAGATCTTCAGGATCTAGAGCCAATCTGGGTCCCTTAGGAACTATATTTGGCCTTGATGATGCTGGGATTTTGTAAGTGTCTCTTATCCCTTCATATTCTCTTTTATTTCATGAGAATTTACTAAACATGACAGGACACATGGCCACCAGTTGTTCTGGGTCACATCTTTACACCTTCCAATGGTTGAAAAACGATAAACCTAATTCTGTGTAGTAATATCTTGGCTCAGGTCACATTCCTATACCCTGCAACCAGGAAGAGTATTATTTTTGGCCAGGTCATTACATGTCCATGTTTATAATCATGAGACATAAATTAGTATCAGAAAAGGGAAGCTATCACAGTATATGATGTCTGTTTCTTCCATAACTTAGAGATCTGGGGTTATCCGTTGTATATAAAAAGCACTACGTAAATATTTGTAAATAACACTAGGGTATCTTCCTAATTTGACAGGAAAACTTAAAATAAGGACTGAAGCAGGAGGGAGAAAATAGATTCATTTGCGTGGAACTCATTTTTATGATACACACATATTTGAAGACTATAAATTCTTAGTTTATAAATTTAGGACTGTTGATTATAAGGGTTTGTTAACATTGAAAGCAACTCAACATTTTCTTTGTACCCTGAGTATTATGCAAATTTGTGGGTGGCTGGAAGAGGTATGCCTGTGGATTTTATAACTATGTGCAGCTTTACAGAATTTTTGAATATGACTCTCTTATATGATAGTACAATCCCTTTGGCCATTAGTCTGACTTTTTTTCTCTTTACATATGTTTTAAATACTGAAAATGAGGAGAATGTTATTTAGTATTGAAAGAATATTCTTTTCTTCTTTTAGAATTTAACTTCCTGTCTGAGTGGTATCTTAGTCTCAATTTATTAATTCAGTCATTTAGCACAAAATTTAAAATTGAAGTATGGTTTGGTGTGAAGTACAGATAAAAAGTTATTTCCTGGGTTCCCAGTGTTCCACTTTTAAGCCCTATTTCATCAGCACTAATCTGCTCTCCTTTTGGGGGAAACGAAACAGGCCACATTCCTGTTTGTGTGAGGGGCATCTCTCTTCATTTGTGTGAGGGGGAGATCAGGCAGGGAGGAGAAGAGAAGAAGAATTTTCCATTAGCTTTCTCTTTTAAGACTATCAACAAGATTGAAAGAAGGAAAGGACCCATTTTTACTTTGTGAAAGGCATAACAACAGGGAAAAACTATTCTGGTTGTATAAAAACCCTGACTTGGGATACCCAAAGCAAAATATATAGGAATTAGGTGGAGAATATGAAAAGGAAATGAGACAGCTGCATTTATTTGGATGGGAGAGCATTGACATGGTATAATTTTCTCAGGTGCCAAAATAATTGAAAATGGTTTTGACCTTCTTTCTCCAGGCTGCTTTCCTAAGGGCGGTTTCTTTCTTGCATCCTCTGACCTTTCCACTACCTCATCCCCACCTCTTGCACCCAAGTTTTTTGTTTGTTATTCTTGTTCAGACATTTTGAAATATATTTAATGCTATTTCTAAATGTAGCTTCAGGGTAATGATAAGGTCAAATTGTTCCCACTGCATCTAAAACTACCTATAACCACAGCCAGAAGCAATATCTAGAATGAAATCTTGCCATTTGCTACAACGTGTACAGAACTGGAAGGTATTATGCTAAGCAAATTAAGTCAGTCAGAGAAAGTCAGATGCCACATGATTTCACTCATATGTGGAGTTTGAGAAACTTAACAGATGATCATAGGGAAAGGTAGAATTCCTTTTCTTTTGGTATTTGTTTTAGGGGCACTAAATTAAGAAAGTTAGTAGGGTTTTAAAATGTTTGCCTTACAATTTTAAGTAAATATTTTAATTTATATTTCCGATTCATTTAAATTTATAATCATGATTTAACAATAGTTCATCCATGTTAGAAAAAAATCATACATAATATCATCACCTTCCAAATAGTCCATGTATTCCTTTTTAAGTTTTTGCCATATGCATAGTTTTATGTCATTATAATCACTGCTTAATTTTTAAATTAATTGTTTTTGGTAATTCAGTGAAACAACATGCAAATGAAGAATATATATCTTTTATTTTAGGACAACACCAAGAGTTTATGAGAATCAGAAAACGGCTGTTTTCTGGAGTCACTGTGATTTTTAAATTTGTCACGCTTGGGTAGTGGTTTTAAATACAAATTTATTACTGGTAGCAAGAAATAATTTTTGTCTTTTAATGCTGAGTAAGTCTCACAGTTGTGTGTATGACAGCAGCTACACAGAATCAGGAGCTGTTAAATACTAGATTTGACTGTATTGTTCAGAAACCCAAAGTAAAAAAATAATAAGCAGAAAACAGGAAATCTAAAATTTTTTGTTATAAGTAATGCAGCTTTGGGTTACGATCTATTATCAAAACAATTGCACGTAAACTGTTTTTATACGTAAGTTAAAAAAGAAACTCCTCACAAAGCGGTGATCATTTCCTGTTTCATTTTTCATTTTCTTTTCGCGCGAAGAGCTTTTGTCTCTCACTAGGAGTTGCTTTAAATCTCTGGGAAGGTCTGTTCCCAATTTACTACTTCTGGATTGGTTAAGATCTCTTTTAAGTGTGTGCTTTGTTCTCTGAAAAGCTTAGGTCAGTTGAGCAACATGCTGCTAATGTTTGGAAAAAAAAAAAAAAAAAGAGCTGAGTAATGCTGGAGCCTTCTCATGTGGCTGATGCAAACCTGGAGAATTTGCATCATCATTAAGCTGGAATAAGTTGGTGTGACAGGCAGGAGCTTAAATACCAGCCCATGAGGAAGCTGAGCTGGTCTGTAATGATAGGGCGGTAGCAGCAGCCGCAGCAGCAGAGGTAGTCAGAGGTGGTGGAGGAGAGAGAGGGAGCGATAGAGAGAGAGAGAGCAAGAGAGAGAGAGAGCGAGAGAGAGCACGAGTACCATGAACACACAGGTGTTTCTGAGGAGTAATTAGGTAGCTGTGAAGGAGAAAATACATCTTTTAGTTTTTACCTGTGAACACAATAGCACTGAGAGAGACAAGGGGAAAGCAAAGAGGAAGACATTTGGTCAGTCACACCAAGAGAGACCAAAGTTGAAAGTTTTGGGGGTTGTTTTTGTTTTTGTTTTTTGAGGTTTTTTTTTTTTTCCTCTGTTTCATTTTTCCCGTGTGTCACTACAATGGTCAGAAAGCCTGTTGTGTCCACCATCTCCAGTGGCGGTTACCTGCAGGGGAATGTTAATGGGAAGCTGCCTTCCTTGGGTGGCAAGGAGCCACCTGGGCAGGAGAAAGTGGTGCTGAAGAAGAAAATCACTTTGCTGAGGGGCATCTCCATCATCATTGGCACGATCATTGGAGCAGGAATCTTCATCTCTCCTAAGGGCGTGCTCCAGAACACGGGCAGCGTGGGCATGTCTCTGATTATCTGGACCGTCTGTGGGGTCCTGTCTCTGTTTGGTGAGTGCCGCTTCTTCTCTGGGGGGATGTCTGCGGAAGCTGGGCAGTTTGCTCTCAGGGAAAGCAAAGAGTAATTTTTAAGGAGTGAATGAATGGCAAAGGCTATGCCAGGTTTTCTGATTCTTGTTTAAGTGTGCGAACCACCCAAACACAGCGTCCACTGTTGGCAGGATCCTGCATTCCCCCGAACTGCTTCCGCAGCCGGCCCTCTCTTCTCCTGACTACGACAGACAGACGCTTTTCTGACTTTTCCCTGTGGCCATGAGAGCAAAGGCTAACGTTGATGACCCGAGAAAATACATGTGAGCTTTCTGTACCGGGCGGTTGTGCTCAGTTACGTGTGTTTGAGGGATCTTGGCAGTTGGCACACTGAATGAAACACCTGTGAAGTGAAACCCAGTGTGGCCTATTTAAACACAGAACTGAGTATTCAGAAGTTTTACAGTGGATTTTTTTGGCAAAACAAACTGGGGGGGGGGGTCTTTTTCTTTTTAATTTTTTAACTTGGTGTGCTTGTCAATTCCTACTACTATTACAAAAGTCCTTGCCGTGGAAATACGTGTGGTGGCACATACTCAATTCCTGTGATACGTGGGAATATTGCAAGGATCTGAGCATATTTCAAATTTTTCCAATCTCTCCTCTCTCCCTCACACCTATTGATGTTTGCAATATAAAGAGTAAAGCAGAAATTGGGTGCTAGTTTTCTGTGTTTGTCCAGATCTGCTTTCTTCGTTTACAGTTTCCTTGGTCTTCAGGGACATAGATAACTTGTCCACCTGTTCACTGAGTTAACCTGAACAGAACTAGTAGTAGAAATATGATTAACAATTTTGCTTGAAAGTCTACATCTCTTTTATTGATTTGATATTAATAGCACAGAGGTAATAGATACCTTTCATGGGGTGAGTAAATTACTAGAAAGCTACCTGAGTTAGTTACAGAGGTGACAAAAACTGGTGAATGGTCAAAAAATAAATAAATTTCATCCACACTATGGGGGTATATGTCTAAGGTGTATCTTGCTTTTTTGTGGCAACCAGGATGTTTTAATTCCAAAAGGCCCTGCTCTTTAAAGGTACTAACACAAAGCTTTGTCCTAACTCTGGGACTAAGTACTAACTCTTGGTCCTACATGGACCAATCCATTCATTCTTGAGGTCTTGTGGTGTTTTAATGCTTTGGTTTGGGTATTCATCTAGAGAAGTCAAATTTCCATTGGGAGGAAGCTATTTCAAGTAAAACTAATGAAAACAAAGCCTTAGTATAGAAAGATCGTATAAGAATTATTTTTAGGTTTTTAAAAAGAGTTGGTGGTAGAATGCCAGAATATGGTTCTGGTAGGTACATTTATAGACAGCGAACCTATTCATTGCTCTTCTTAACTGACTTTGTGCACCCTTAGTCTTTACTCTTCTACAAATACTTGGTAAATTGAGAATAAATCAATGTCTAATAGGAAAAACCATAACCAGTTTGCTGGACTTTTCATACTTATATACATGCAGTTCCCACTATGTGATTTGATTTTTATACACAATAAAAGGTTATTCAGATATAGTAAAATGGATTGCTGTGAGGATTAAACTAGTTAAAATGCTATTGTACTATGAAAATATGGTTCTGCCTAAGTGTACCAACTCAACAGAAGCTCAGGGGAAAAAAAAAAGCTAAAAGGACTAGGTAAGGTTACATTTGAGTTGATATTCTTTGATTACTAATCCCAGGGAGCATGCTCCTGTATTAATCTACTTATCTGTATTTACATTTTGTCATTTAAGTTCCTAGGAGCTTTTTGACAGGAGTGCTTTCCTAACAGGAAGCAAAGCAAAGTGTAAGGAAAACAAATACTTTCTCTTCGAACTCTAGAATTCTGAGACTAAGAGTAAAGATTCTGTATATTTGGTTTACAATTTGTTTTAAGGTCAGGGTCAATACATGGATTTTTACATCTTGTTTTGAGCTGTTCTCATCTGGGTAAAATGGTTGGAGATTGAGACTTTTAAATGAAAATCTCATTCCTCTAGAACTCAATTTAAACCTAGGGTAACCATCCTGGAGTTTCAGCAAAGCAGACACAGGTCGAGGTATTGATTCTCTAGCAATAAATTCTGAGGTACTTCAGGCTTTCTGATAACATTTTAAATAGGAAGCTCTTTTGTACTGGCTCCCAACATGGCGACTGGTTTCCAACAGAGTGAATTGCAACCAGTGATAATTAGTTACAAATAGGCAAACTATATTAGTGATCCTCAAATATCAATCTTCAAACTAGGCATTTTAAAACCATCCGTATAGAGGTGACTGGGTGGCTCACTGGGTTGAGCATCTGACTCTTGACTTTGGCTCAGGTTATGATCTCACAGTTCATGAGTTCAAGCCCCATATGGGGCTCTGTGCTGACAGCATAGAGTCTGCTTGGGATTCTGTCTCTCTCTGCCTCTCTCCTGCTTACTCTCTCTCTCTCTTTTAAAATAAATAAAAATAAACTTAAAAAATAATAAAATCATCTGTAAAAATTTTAAAATAAAAGATTTGTTTGGCTCCCTCTATTGGAGAGTCCGAACTGACTTGGTAGAGAACAAATGTAGGGTATGGCCTTAGATTTTTGAATTCATTTAAATAAAAAATTTACTTCCAAGTGATTCTGATACAGAGTGAGGTTTGGGAATAGGACAAATGATAGTAAGATATCACTGAATATCCAAATATTATTCACGTTGACAGTTCTGCATAAAGCTTTACTATAATTATTTCCCACTCTTTTAGTCTCTAAAGTAGCTCAAGCAAAAATTTGTGTTACATTTGAATACTTTGCAGTATGAATAGAATTTTTCACATAGTACCATGGCGTATCTTTCATTCTTGTGGTAGTTAATTGCTCAAATTAATAGGTATATTTCATGAGGTAGCTCACTGTATCAGGGCCAGTACTGTCCTTGGCGCCCAATATTGCATTTTTACACACAACTCCCTTATGAGGTAAGAATTGAGATCTCTATTTTACAGATAAAGAAACTTACATTTGGGGAGGTCACAAAACTCGCTCAAGACCATGTGGATTGTATTGCAAAATGCTGAGATTACTAAATGTTTATAATTAATTCTACCCAATATACATAAGTTATAGCATCTCTTTCTAAATAGTATGTTGTTTTAACTACTCAGAAGTGTAGAAAAAATCTTCTCTTTTTCTCAGGTTTGATTGAGATTCATAATTCTTAATAATATATATTTTTTAGAAGTTTGTCTTGACCATTTCAAATAAAATTACATTGTTTGAATAGAATGAATTAGATCCCAAATATGAGGAAGTTACAAGGAGAATTTGATGGCTCCTAATGATCAGATGACTGTTACTTCTCTTCAAGACCTCATTCAGACCAAAGGATGTAGTAACATCCTAAACATAAATATTGTTGTATCAATTCTTTTTTTTTTTTTTTTAACGCTTATTCGTTTTTGAGAGACAGAGTGAGGTGAGTGAGAGAGGGGCAGAGAGAGAGGCAGACACAGAATCTGAAGCAGGCTCCAGGCTCCAGGCTCTGAGCTGACAGCACAGAGCCCAGAGTGGGGCTCGAACTCGCGAACCACAAGATCATGACCCAAGCCAAAGTCGGACACTTAACTGACTGACCGACCCACCCAGGCACCTCTATTATATCAATTCTACCTTGGGCTGACTAGCTAATATCTTAACTTTGTACCTTTGTTTTATGAATACTTCACAGGAGCCTTGTCATATGCTGAATTAGGAACAAGTATAAAGAAATCTGGTGGTCATTATACATACATTCTGGAAGTCTTTGGCCCATTACCAGCTTTCGTACGAGTCTGGGTGGAACTGCTCATAATACGGTAAGAACATAGATAAGAAAACAGTTAAGGAAAAATAAATCCATTCATTACACCCTTCTTTAAATCATCTTAAGTTTTTTTAAACTGACTAGAAATATGTATGTCATGTGACTATGTTGTAAACATGTGTATTTCAGGATGTGAAATCTATGATAAAATACCTCTGTCAGTGTTTTTAATGCAGTTTTGTCACTGGCAATAGCTCTCCATTCATGGCAAACTTTTATTAAAGTATCTGATTTTCTTTAATATTCTATTATCCTCTGATATTTCTGGAAAGTATGTTGACTTGAAAGGATACAAAGCATCAAAATCCACTGTGATAAATCGTACGTTTTGCCTGGCCAGACAAAATTAAATGTTATGCTAGGAGGAGGAGTTTTTCTTCTTGTAGATTCCATTGTCATTTAACTTTCCTCTGTTGTCGTGACTAGAAACTTCTGTGCGTAACAGCTTAGCGTGTCACTGAGTTTTATATTTTACACACAAAAATGACTTGACGTAAATGACTCACTTCCTCTGGTTAAGCAAATCAGTGAACTAGAGTTGCAAAATATAAAAGTTTTATTGCTGTAAGAATATGTTCTTTCTAATTGTCTTGGTTTAAAATCCAAACAAATAGTGCTAAGTCACTCTGAATAGCAAATTTCCTTTCACATTGTGGGAAACCTGTGATATCATATGTACAGTTTAGAGTATCACGGTCCTTTAAGGTAACAGCTACCATAAGATGTGACTAACACATCCTGATTGTAGAGCTTAACAGTAATAACTGGAGAAACTTGTTCTTAGTGTAAACTTATCAGACATACACAGCTGAGAGCTCCAGTGAGCTTTTATCCTGACATTTGGGGCATAAGTGGGAAATGCAGAGCTAATAAGTATTGATTTAACACTACCCATGATTTTTAGAGTCAAAGGCATCTATGTCTTTTTTAACAAAGAGATTAGATTGATATTTACTTCTCTGTTGAGTCTGTTCTCATTTTAGACAATTTTGCATTATTTAAAACTTGTGATATGAAAATTATGCTAAAGAGGTACTTTGTTCTTTTTCTATAGTGTGGAATATGCTTGGGATGTACTTTCTGCTCTTTTCTGATTTATCTGAATATTACTCTTCAGAGGTTAGCCTAAATCCTATCTTTTCCACAGTTAATTTCCTATTCACCCTAGTTTCTATTTCTTTTCTCTCTTAATTCTTTTGGGAAAAAAATGCAGCTCCCACTTCTTATTTGACATTCAACATGATATCTTATATTCCTACTTAATATATCAGGTGTCTATGCTCTGTTTCTCCATCAAAACTACAGGCATTTTAAATACATGAAACCAAGTGTCACACTTTTGAAACTATTATACATCTTAATCAGTGTCCTGAGCATTATAGATAGTAATATTTTTGAACAATATTAAATTATTTTTGAATAATTTAGTTCTTTTTGATTGAAAGTTTAAGATCATAATATTTTGAATTCGACATTCTCAGCATTCAAATGAGGACACATGGAGCACCTGAGTGGCTCAGTCAGTTGAGCTTCTGACTTCAGCTCAGATCATGATCTCATAGTTCATGAGTTTGAGCCCTTTGTTGGGCTCTCCATTCTCAGTGAGGACCCACTTCTGATCCTCTGTCTCCCTCTCTCTCTGCCCCCTCCTCTGCTCTCTCTCTCTCTCAAAAATAAATAAATATCAAATGAGGACTATACTTATTCAGAGTGCTGGGTTGTTAGGATGGTAGGCTTTGGAGCCTGATCTAGCTGCATCTGAATCCCTCTTCACCTAGGTATATGTTGCATGGCTTTAGTTAATTGCTGGGCATTATGATGAACATGACCATTCTGTTCACAATAGCACAGATACAGTGCTCACTCACTTACTTATTCATTCCTTAAACAGCTACTGAAAGGTGAATGGTCAGTTAAAGAGTCTATAAGTGGAATGACACACAATTCTTGCTCCCAAGTAGCACATAATCAAATGTTACTTACATTGAAAGACAGCTGCTTCATGGTGTGTGTGTGTGTGCATGCGCACATGTGTACTGACAGAGGAAATGACCCAGATATATTCTAGAAGCTTTTTTTAAAGGATTCATATATTCCTTTGTAATAAGAGACTCACATTGCTAGGTTGGTCTTCTAAATAAACAGAGTAATGAATGACTTGTGGAGTGACAAGATACCTAGATACTTTAAGATTTCTCATCTGCTCACAATAACTGTGGTGCCTAAACACTTAAAATTATGCTTCAGGGTGAGCACTCTTGGCAGCAGAAATAATCTGTAGAACACAGATTCCAAGAAAATAAATATCATATATTAGTACATAGCTGGGGTCATTAGATTGAATTCACACATTAACTATATATTCAATGTTTATTGGGTTTCTACTTATGATAGATACTGTACTAAATACTGGTGATAAAATAGTGACTAAGTCTTGAACTCATGATGCTCAGGGTCATGTGAGGGAAATAATTATCAATCAAGAAATCACATAGTGAAGATAAAGTAGCTACTGTGATCAGCACCATGAAAGGGAAGCCATGGGCCTTGGTAAGGGAGTATACTCAGGGACCTCTCACCCAACCAGAAGGGTAAAGGAACTTCCCTGGGCCAAGGAAGATTGAACAAAGATATAGAAAACTACCAATGAGTTGTAGGGGCTCCATGTAAAGGGTATTCAGCTCTTTCCAGTGAGAAGAAGCAAACTAAGAGGAAGGGAATGCTTAGACCAGATGGAACCTTCACAGACTATTTTGCATATCCTGAGCATGTTTTGAAAGCACTAAATATGTGATCAGGTTTTAATTGAGACACCAAAAATTTACAAATGATGAACAGGAAAAATAGTCTTTTGTTGGGGGGTGAGGGAGAGCAGAGGGTCTTTAGGAAAAGAAGAAAAAAATTGTATGGTGCTATTGAGTACAAGCAGGCCAAATTTGGAAATGATTGTGGTTGGTTTTCAGACAATCTAGAGTGTAGGATAACTACGAGAAAAGAAGCTGAAAGAGAAGACTGGCATGAGAAGTTAAATAATTCCATGAACTTGCCTGTGTATCTAAAGAATATATGTTCATATATACATCTATTTAAAGGCACATGTAATTTTCTCATAGCAATATTTGAAGGATTAAAACAGAATGGTGTGTTACCTATTTTACTATAGACCTGAACTTATTTAATTTTCTTTTTCATGTTTTCTCAGTTGTATAAAATTACAAGAGAATTTTTTTATTTTGCAACTTATAATTTGCATTTAAATATTTCTATGAAAGTAAGAATAATCACTTGGCTCTTCACGTACTAGAGCCAAGTGATTTGTCTGTACTAGAAAAATAAGAATGCAATGTCAAGGACATAAGCATATATTTTCAATGAACAATTAATGCTGTGGCTGGAGCTTAGTTGTTGACTTATTATTATTTTTAACGTTTATTTACTTTTGAGAGAGAGAGAACGAGAATGAGTGGGGAGAGGCAGAGAGAGAGGGAGACACAGAATCTGAAGCAGGCTCCAGGCTCCGAGCTGTCAGCACAGAGCCTGACATGGAGGTCTGAACCCACAAACTGTGAGATCATGACCTGAGCCGAAGTCAGATGCTCAACTGACTGAGACACCAGGTGCCTGTCTGTGGTTGTTGCCTTATGGCGAAGACTGCTTCTTAGAGTGTCCAGCTGCCAGGATCTCAAATAATAAACTAGATTTTTAAGGAAAAAAGTCAAATATAGGAGAGCAGGAGCAAAATTGATAACACCCAGTCTTGCTTCCATGGATGTGTGAAACTTAAGCTAGCCACCGAAGTTATAGGTAATATTTCATTTGGAGTATCTGCGACAACCCAATCAAATATGGAGTTTGGAAAATTATAGGCTTTCGTAACTAACATGCTCTTTACGTTGACTAACATTACCTCAAGGTAGAAAAGTTTAGCAAGGATGCTATTTATTATTTTCTTTTTGTTAACCTGAAAATTTTCTTTCCAGCCCTGCAGCCACAGCTGTGATTTCTCTGGCATTTGGACGTTACCTTCTGGAACCATTTTTTATTCAATGTGAAATTCCTGAACTTGCAATCAAGCTCATTACGGCCGTAGGCATCAGTGAGTATCATAGGTCCGAATATGAAAAAGAAAAAAAAAAAAGCAAAAGTGACTGATGACAAAATTTCTTTAGACTTTTTATATGATGGGACTGCTCTCCACATCATGCTGTTTTTGCTTCCCTTCCTTGCCAAATTTGTGTTGGAAAATAAAGAAAAGATTAAGGATTTAGAGTGATCCCTGGTATTACATTACATGCCAGTTTTGTATTGGGTCAATAGAAACAATGGTTAATCTTCTGATATCGGCAAACAAACCACTTTATTAGTAAAATAGCTACCGAATTGTACATGAAAGGAGAATTTTACAGATGAAGAGCCATTTATTTTATGGGCTTTTGAAGTAGAATATTCTCCTTTCTCACTGATAATCTGTTAAATGAAAACTCACTTATCCTCATGGCCCGCTGTTCCTGTGTTGGGTGTGTGTGTGTGTTGTGTTGTGTTGTGTTGTGTTGATATCTTCTATTCTGTTAGCAAACTGCCACTCTCAGTGTTATAGTTTTAGCTGCCCATTGATGGTCATGACAAAGTCTTCTTTTTAATACTTGATTACTAGTAGCACTTCTCAAATTGGATCTCCAAATTAGGAATTTGTTCAGTTTTATCAATGTGCACAAATTCTAGATGGTTTTTAAAAGAAATGAAAAAGAGGAGCATATACAACATTATATAAGTGATATGGAGCCAAACCTTTGAATAGTGTGGGATACAATAATACTTCTAGATGCTAATTGAATCAGTTTGAAGAATCAATATGATCATGCTTGATTAAGTTTGAACTCTGGAAATAGAACGAAACCCAGGAAGAAGTAATTCCATACTTGTGAAGAATTTTCACAAGTTATGCACGCCTAACATGCTCCAGTAGAACACTGAAGGGAGTACTGTGCCATTGCCACTAGAGAGGTGAGTGGTTCGTTTGCAGGAATTACCTGTAAAAATCTCTCTAGTGTAGATACATGAATTTTTGAACTTAGGTTCATCCTGGATTTTCTACTTTATCCACCAGACATGTGCACACTATTCTTCTGTGAAATCTTTGAAGAAAGACAAAGAAAAATATTCAAGGTAGACCTATTTGAATTCCAGAGAGGTAATGGTAAACGTAACTCATCATGCCCTTAACACACACTACCAATGTGAGACTCAGGGACAAATCATTTAGCATGTTACACCTCAATATTCTTGGCTGCAAATCCTGTGGCATCTCAGAGAGTGTTTGGTGAGGATTAAATGATTTTCACTGAGACAATGTGTGTATAGTGTTTGGGTCATGCCTGCAATTTATTAAGAACAATTACAAATGGTAGCTGTTTATACTCTTGTGGGAAAATATCATGTGACGTTCCATGAGACCAGGGGCCCTTGCACTGCCATATTTCCATGCTCCTAGTATGGCATGTGTGCTCAATAAATATTTGTTGACTGACTGATTTTATGCAAAGAGATCTAAGGAATTTTCCCTAGCATAAAAGTCTACTTGTTCAACCTGGAGGATTACACATCTTCAGTTTTCTCAGGCAGCAGGACAATGGTGGCAAATGAAACACAGTTTGCTCAATGTAATTTTCAGAACTAATACCATGAGCTTCTGTGGGATGAACTATCTTAGCATAGTAGTTACAGCTTAGGCTTTGAAGGCAAACAACCAGGAATTGAAACTTAGTGTCACAATTTCTTAGTTGTGTGATCTGGAGCTAAATATTAAAACTTCTTAAGCGTTACTTTTGTTTATTAGGAAAATACTTGTAAAAAGATAATCTGTCTTGGATAGCTGCAGACAGATGAAATTACGTCAGGTTTTTAAGGCCTTTAGCAAAGTGCCTTGGCCATAGAAAGTACTTAATATATCTGGCGTCCCACTGAGGGATTGGACTAATAGCCATTATTGTAAGCATTATATTCTCGTCCCTCAAATGGCTGAGGCAGAATCATACCATGATTGTTATATTTGAAAAGGGGATAGAGAGAATATTTTTGAGAGATGTGTAAATTTACAGTAGAAGTTTTAAAAGGTATCTTTAGGTGTAGGCGCATGTATTTCTCAACTTAAATAAAAGTTATAATTAGCAAATGTTCAGTAGATTTTATGTAAACACAAATCCATAACTATTGCCTGCTTTGGACTTGAGACGGATAATGGCAATATATTACTATCTTGGTAAGTCTAGACTCTTTTCCTTTATCCAAATGATATTAAACATTTTTTGGAGGGAAAATCTGTATTTTGGAGGAGGAAATGGAAAATGTACAGACTAAAATTTTAGCTCAATTATACAGAAGGATAACTAACTGTGTTCTGCTTTACCAAACTTCTGTAATGGATATTGGTGATAAAATGGTTCACAAAGCCTTGTAAAATCTTGGATGAACCTAGACATCTTCCATTTTTGCCATTGGCTATAACATTAACTGAAAAGTTGTGATGTTACATTTGCAAGCTTGAGATTCTGAGGAAATGTGTTCCTATAATTTGGAGAGATTTCACTGAAAGAGAAAATAAGGTATTGTTATGACTCAGTGGTAGGTAATGTAAATCAGTGGTCTAACTGGGAAAGTGAAACTAACTTTGAGAAGGATTTAGCTTTAATGGAGCAACCAATCAGGGGTGGAGATAGAGATAGAGAAGGAGACATTTACCTGGGGGCAAATCTCTCACATTCCAGTTATTTTTTTTTTTTAATGTTTTATTTATTTCTAGGAGAGAGAGAGAGACAGCATGAGCAGGGGAGGGTCAGAGAGAGAGGGTGTCACAGACTGAAACAGGCTCCAGGCTCTGAGCTGGCAGTCAGCACAGAGCCCGACGAGGGGCTCGAACCCACGAACCGAGAGATCATGACCCAAGCGAAAGTCGGACGCTCAACCGACTAAGCCACCCAGGCGCCCCTCTCACATTCCAGTTATTAAAAGTGAGTATAGGTGATAAACTTGCTAAGGGCAGATGGCTGGTGAGACATAGAAAATAGAGTTTAATTGTATGAATTGCTTTCCTGTATTACTTGGGGGAGGAAAGATTTCGTGATCATATGAAATCTCTAGTTCAAGTGTAGAAAGAGAGCAAAGCTGAACGATCTTGTTACAATCCAGTCACGGGAAAAAAAAAAAAAAGAGGTTTGAAGTTTTGTGAAATACTAACCAACCATTTGAGAAGTGATCCTGGGGTAGGAGTGGGGAAGTTACTGAATGCTAATCGATCTGCCCTTTGTTTAAAGTACTGGACTTCATTCATGTCAAATTAATAAAGATGAAAAGTTTTTGCTTACCCAAATTCCTGTCTGTTGCAGTAAACATGTCAGGCACAGGGAGGTCTAGCCGGGAAATCTATCTTAGACATTCGCATTAGGTGCTCTCTGCTAGCCCAGCATGGACATTACTCCCTTCTGTGTGACACTGTCAAGTTTCACTCTCCTTGTGGCTTTGGTAAGCATTGAAGGATGTTCAATACTTACAATGATATCCAGTCTTTTGTTCTGGTCTCCTGAAACTATTCCCTATATAAGTATACAATTGAATGGCAGAATATTGTAATAAAAATACTTTCTTCAAAATATGAAATCTAGTCCCAGATCCATTCCTAACAATCTCCAATCTGAGTTTCCTTCCTAGCTTAGTGTGTACAGGTGAGTAAAGAGCCCCACCCTGCTTCTCATACCTTGTGGGAATAATTAGAAGAAACAAAGAAAGTAACACCATGATTCCATTATAAGAACAAATTAGCCCCTTTCATTACTAGATGACTGTACTTTCTTTTCCCAAACTGTTTTCCTGCCGTCATAGAATTACATGAAAGAAAATCAAGTTCTGAGCTAGCATTTCAAAAACATATAGCATGTGGAGTGGTTTTGCTTAAACATTCTGAAGACTGGCTATGCCTATCCCTTTTCTACCATAACTAAATTACCAAGACAATGAATTCTTAGGTAGATATATGTGGTATTGAAATATATAAGTACTGAAAAACAATAACCATATCCTTCCGGAGGATGACAAATAAAATGTGGGAAATCCCTGCCAAGATAAACATGAACCTTAACAGAGAGGCAGAGCCACTAGGAGTTCGAAGCAGTTAGGTATGTTAGTGAGATCATGTTATGTCTTTTGAGCTACTTCCTCACTGTCACCTGTGAGCTAGGGGTAAAAAAAAAAATGGACTCTGAGGTCAGTTTACCTAGGCTCCAATCCTATTTTCACACTTACCTGTGTGAACATGAGCGAGTTAAATACCATCCCAAGTTTTAGCTGCCCATCTGAAAAATTATGCCGGCAATGATGGTGACCACATTATAGAGAGATAAAGACTAAGTAACATTATCCATGTAAAGTTTTTGTACAATATCTGCCATATAATAATAGTTTACAATTATTTGATGCTTACCATTTTTATTCCCAGCATTGAGATCCTAGATACAGATTGTCTCTCTGTTTTTTAAAGATGTTTAGAGCTAGAGGGGCTTATCCTCTCTGAAATTAGTATATTCAGGCAATGAATGCTAACAAAGAGAACGGTAATTCAGGCAGCTGTTACGAAAACCATTGGACTGATCGACTGTAACTCACCATGTAGCATCCCTATATTTTATTGATTTAGCATGAAGTCAGAAGTCAGAAGCCAGAGAGAACCTGAATCTGGGAGAAAACCCAATACACCCAGGTTCAGTAATCTCACTCTGCAAATCCACAGACAGACGTGAATTAGAGAAATGCAGAGAGAAACACTAGCCCATCCATAAATCCCAGTATAAGTCCTTCACATTTCCCTAAACATCCTCTTCAGGTAGAGCTCCCTTCTAAAATATATTCCTTATCTCCAGGATATATATATATATATATATATATATATACATCATATACATATATATATATATGATGGTAAGCATATGTACGTTCAGCCAATGAATATATATATATATATATGTGTGTATATCTATCTATCTATATATATATATCTATATATCTCTTTCATGGTTGCGTTTCCATTCTTACCAAACTGCACTATAAATAAGTAAATAAAAATTATATACCCCAGTATTTTCATTTGGGCAAGAAAAAAAGCTAAAGTTGATATAAATATTTTCTAATGTGTGAAATTTACAATTATTATTCAAAGGAAGTAAAGTTAGGTAGGACCACAGAAATTACTCACATTTCTTTTATTACAATGTGGGTAGGTAGTCTATAAAAAACAAAGAAGATATTATTTGTTTCAGAAATGCAGAAAGCTCTTGCATTTCGTGAATCCCAAATCCCCTTTTCAGTATTGCTGGGTAAGTAACATATGTAGACTTAAACTTCTGTGTAAAGACACATGATGAAGCAGCATTTCTAGTTACTCGAGGACCTTCACGGTGCCTCTGTACTGGCTGCCTTGTTACTTGTGAAGCCTTATCCTTCAGGGTCATAGAGGCACATCTCAGCTGGAATTTGGTGTACCAAATAATGAGTGCAACGTCTGCATGCTCAGATAATGTGAGGTTTTGAGAAACCTTTGAGAGAAATCAGTTTTAACCAGAATTTTTTCTTCAGCTGCCTAAGAGGAAAGCAAGGTGAGATTATCAGTTCATAAGTTTTCTTTGATTTTTCTAAGAAAACTTTACAAAGTATAGAAGAAAACCCCAAATGCTCACTCTTTTCTATTTCAATAGATATTAAGACTTACACTCTTTAAGAAAGTAACAAATCCTCTTTCCTCTTCTTAAATAGAGGTTCCAAAAATAAGAATGCCTCTTTCTTTCACTCTCCCCACTCCCTCTTTTCTTTCCCTCTCTCCTCTCTCCTTTCTCCCACCCATCTTTATTTTCTCCTTCTTCCTTTCTTTTTTCCTTCCCCTTCCTTCCCCTTCTTTCCCCTTCTTTCCCCTTCCTTTCCTTTCCTTTCCTTTCCTTTCCTTTCCTTCCCTTCCCTTCCCTTCCCTTCCCTTCCCTTCCCTTCCCTTTCCTTTCCTTTCCTTTCCTTTCCTTTCCTTTCCTTTCCTTTCCTTTCCTTTCCTTTCCTTTCCCTCTTTCTTTTTCTCTTTCTCTTTCCTTTGTTCTTTTTTTCCCTCTATATACAACAGCTCTTTTCTATTGTAGAGTACTTTGAGAAATAGTGTTTCAGGTTTTAGGAGCTCTATTTAAAAGAAAACAGTACTCTTTTGTTGGTGGTGGGAACATGAGTCCAATATTTTAGGCCAATGTTGAATCCCTTTAAAAAAAAAATAATGCTTTTTGTATGATGACTCATTTGTCACAGAGTCGTTTGCATAGAAAAAAAGAAAGGAATAACTGGATGATGAAGTGGGGAACAGAACTGCATAAAATTATTTCCAACATATAAGTGCTTTATATTGGAGAAAGAAAAATAATTTTATTTTGTATCTTTCCTCTGATAAAGTAGTACACTCTGCGATTAACAGTGGACCTGCCTTTCTTCATGTTTTTAGCTTCAAACGTAGGTAAAATATTTCCCTTAGCCTCACATGGATCTTATATGGGGTTCCAGCCTTCCTGATCATTCTTATCATTACTCTTTTAAGACATCTCTTCATTAGTAACCTCCTAATTAACTTTGTGTGGGATCTCTTGATCCCTTATTTTCCCATCTTTGAGATTTTTCAAAAATGAAAATTGCTGAATTGATTTTCACTTTAAAAAGCTGCATGTCCATTATAAAAATTATTAAATGCAGAAAAAGAAATACAAATGGAAAATTCTTGAGTATTCCGTATCTATAGATACTTTCTGTTAATGTTTTGATAAATAGTGTTTCAGATTCCACCCCCCTTCATTTCTCTCTGCCTTTGTGTCTTCATCCATCCATCCAACCATCCATCCATCCATCCATCCATCCATCCATCCATCCATCCTTATCTTTGTAACTTGTTGTATTGGTCAGAAATGTATCATGAACATCCTTTCATGCAATGCATATTTAACTGCATCATGATTTTAAATGGCTATATACCAAATCATTAAAAAGGTGTGCTTTAATTAGCCTTCCCTTAGGGGTCTAGGTTATTTTTAAAAGTTTCCCATTACTGTATGTGTTATGTGTTGATAACATTTACACTGGTTCTAAAATTCTGAAATGAGCTAGTGATTATATGAAGCAGTGGAAACTATGAAGATAACTGATTACTATAGAATATGAAAACTTCCGATTGCAACCTGAATTATAAAAATCCTGTGTTTTGTTTTATCCCCTGAGAAGTATGTTCATACGTTTGCGTTATTTGTTTAGAAGGGATACACCTTTTAAAAAATAAAGCTTAAAGATAATGACTGCAAATGTCAGGTATGAAATGGCTTTGGGGGGTGGTTACAACTGAATATAAACTTTTGGAAAGAGCATAAAGTTGAAATCCATGGTCTAGAAGAACCTCTAGAAGTTATTCTGGAAGAGGGTAGTAGACAGGGTCTTAGAGTATCATCTTTCATTTCATGCTTTCTTGGCTGATGGTAGTTTTTTTTTAACTGAGGATCCAACTCAGTCATTCAATAAAATTGTGCTGATTATCTTTCTGGGCCAAGTATGGAGCTGAACAGAAGCAATAAAGAGAGAAAATACTTGTTCTAGTCTCCAGATTCTCATGGTCTACCATTTGGGGAAAGTGGATAGTTGAGTGCTACTCAGGAAACTAAACAGCATCAGTAAGAAAGGGAAATTCTGCTGGTTTCAGACCCAAGGTGTAATCTAGATTGGGAACACATTTGGATACATTCATTAACTTAAAACTTTTTTTTCCCCAAGTCCCCAAACGCATCTTCGAAGCCTGTATTTTTAAAGAAGGTTGAAAGTCAGTCCTTCATGTGCTAATTGGAAACTGGAAAGGAAAACCAAAGAGTGCTAGATGGGGCTAGTTTTGAGAATGAAGAACAAAGTTCTAGCCAACTTCTTGACATCTCACTCCTTCTTGAGTGGTTCCATACTGGCAGGTGCATATGGGTAACAGCATCACAGGAGGAAATAGTTGCCTGACCTGCCAAGCTAGGAAGTCATAATCAGCAATTTGGGGTTTCATTATTAGGAAACTATAGTATATGCCCAATCTTATTGACATATACAAAAAAATGAGACAAGTGCTTACTGTCCAGTGGTTTTATCTGAGCATCTCAAACTTCAATGTGCGTAAAAACCACGTAGAGATCTTTTGAAAGGTATCTATTAGGTTAGGGGCGGTGCCTGAGATTTCACATTTCCAAAATGCTTCCAGGTAATGCCAACTTTGCTGGTTAATGGATGGCACTTTGAATAGCAGGGTCTTGATGTCTTCATGCCAATGAGAATTCACCTTTTGTAACTTTCATTTATTTGTTTGCAGCTGTAGTGATGGTTCTAAACAGCATGAGTGTCAGCTGGAGCGCCCGGATCCAGATTTTCCTAACCTTTTGCAAGCTCACAGCAATTCTGATAATTATAGTCCCTGGAGTTATGCAGCTAATTAAAGGTATGGACTGGAAAGTAAATGCTTTTTAAAATACGTATCTGCTTTTGATCTCTTCTAGCACTAACTTTTGCTTGTACTAGCAGAATCCCTTAATTAGTCTCTGCTTGTGGAACTTGGACTCTATACTGTCATCTAATTGATTTGAAAGACTGTTGCATTGGTGTGTGTTGGTATTTACAGCTGAATGGCAAGAGAATTAAGACTGGGCCAAGCAACAAAATAAGGCATCAGTGAAACCTCTCCATACAAACTCTTTGGACTGAGAACTCAAAGAGGAAAAATAATTGTCATTCATTTTAACTACAGATATCTATATCCTCTTATTTTTACTTAAAAATAGTTCAGTAATAGTAACAAAGACTATAGAAGAAAGGATATCTGGAAAATGATGAAAGGTGACCAATAATACTTTTACTCTATGGCTATGTTTGGACAGAAAAGGAGTCAGATATGGGATCTAGCATTCCTAAAAACCAAATATTATCTGATAAAAAATTGTAAAACTTAATTTTTATTGTTACATCATCTTAAAAATTTTTTTAATGTTTAGTTTTGAGAAAGACAGAGTGTCAGTGGGGAAGGGACAGAGAGAGAGGGAGACACAGATTCCGAGGCAGGCGACAGGCTCCAAGCTGTCAGCACAGAGCCCGATGAGGGGCTCAAACTCACAAACTATGAGATCATGACCTGAGCTGAAGTCAGACACTTAGCCAACGGATAGCCACCCCTATTGTTAAATTACCTTTAAAGTCAAATCTGGAATATAACATCATTTCTGAGGAGTATTTATCTTACAGAGTTGACTGTTTAATAAGAAAAGATAGGATGATTTTTTAAATGTTTTTTATTGATTTCTGAGAGAGAGAGAGAGACAGCATGAGCGGGGGAGGGTCAGAGAGAGAGAGAGGGAGAGACAGAATCTGAAGCAGGCTCTAGGCTCTGAACTAGCTGTCAGTACAGAGCCTGATGAGGGGCTCAAATCCATGAACCATGAGATCATGACCTGAGCCGAAGTCAGACACTTAACCGACTGAGCCACCAAGGCGCCCCAAGAAAAGATAGGATAGTTAGGCAAGTGATAGTATTTAGAGTTTCAGTTGTTTTAGGGAAGAGGGTACATGTAATTGCCTGGTTTCAGTGGCAGTTGTTGGAAGAAGGAGGTCAAGGTGAGCTATTTAATTAGCAATGGGCTTGATAGTAGGAAATAGGAAAGTGGAGTACATATAATTGGGCATGTTGGAGTATTTAGTGTTTACATTGATATTGTCTATTCCCAGGAAGGGAAGTTACAGAGAATTGTTAGGAAGTTGCAGGAGAAGAATTACACAAAGCAAAAAGTAATGGCAAAGCAGCAAAACCATTGCTGAGGGTAGAGGCGTCAAACAGTAACAAACACTGAAAGATTTGTCACTGTAGCTAGGGAAAGGGAGCTGCCTTTGTCCATTTACTAACAAAAGATCTTAGAACTGTCCTGGTTCAGTTCTGGTTTGCATCACATCCAGCAACTGCAGCCAATCAGAGTAGATACAGTAAAGATTTGAATGCTACGGCTTACACTAAAGAGGAGCTATGAGCCCACTCTTCCAATTCACATTGGCCCCCACAGAGCTAGCCTGCACGTTTTACCTGATTGATTAGAAATGCAGAGAAAATAATCTGTTTTATTGCTGCTTTCTTTTCTAGGCTAACTCTTTAGTCTTCTGTAAGGGGTTTCTTCCATTTGTGGAAGGTGCAGACACTCTTGAGGTACTGACCCTACTTTAGTACTTGTTTATGTTCCAAAAGATGATGTACTATTCTTTAAAACTAAGATTTTTTTTTTCCTTTTTAGTGTAATATAAGACTGTAGTCATTTTTGTTTTTTACCACTTATTGATATATATATGTGAGATGAGGTGAGGTTTTCCAAAGGGTATTTTACTGTAAATTCCTTAAGAGCAGAGGTCATATTGTATTTTTTGGATCTTTTTCGACACTTAGAATGATCTTTTAATTAATACTTATACTATCTATGCTTAATGTGAACAGGCTTCCTCTTATAGTTCACCTAATAGAGAAATCTCATAAGAATATTACCACATTTAAAGTAAATTTTAATATTTTAGAGAGCATTTTTAGCAAGTATATTTACTCTATTACTACAAAATGTTGATTTTCTTTCTCTCTAACTTAACTACGTATTTTTTCACATTAATTTGACACTCCAGGAAGAGAAACACTTTACTAATACAGATTGTGCATTTCTTTTGACTCTAATCAGATCCTGAAAATAGTTCTATGTTCTATATTTATTTATGAGGATTTGTTAAACTTTCCTTTGAATATTATGACTTTCATATTCCTGAGACCTCTGTTATACAGCCAAAATATTTCTGAAGTTTAGAAAAGCCTCTCTTTTGTAATAGTTTCAAACTGACATTTTTTAGGATTTATGCTTTAAGACCTGGTCTTTAACAAAGTTTAGTTTCCCTTCTTGATTATTCAGTACTGTACTCTTAAATATTATCTTCTTAGGCCAAGGAGACAACAGATCATGATAGAAAGAATATTTAATAGATATTTTTATCTGAGTCCAAGTATTTATATGTTTCTTCTATGAGGACACAGAAATGTTTTAGTAAAACAGGCATTTCTAAATTCACTGTGTCATTTTTTTAAATGAACTATGTTTTGGAACCGGATACTTTGAGGGAAAAATTACTTAGCATACAATTCAACTTTCTCCATTTTTGGTCTCAAAGCTCATACATATTATATGAATATATATTGTTGTCTGGGAAACTCTGGTAACAATTGAGATTTGAGTGAAGAGAGAGGGGCATAATCACATACATCATCCACCTCCCATCCTTCTTTTATTTACTTAAGTGAAGACCAGTTTTGAAACAAAGTCAAATTTCTCATTTGGGTGATCTCATTTGCTATATATATATATATATATATATATATATATATATATATATTTATTTATTTTTTTTTTTGGAAAGAGACTTTTTTTTTTTTTCAAAAATTTTTTTAATGTTTTATTTATTTCTAGGAGAGAGAGAGACAGTGTGAGCAGGGGAGGGTCAGAGAGAGAGGGAGTCACAGACTGAAACAGGCTCCAGGCTCTGAGCTGGCAGTCAGCACAGAGCCCGAAGCGGGGCTCGAACCCACGAACCGCGAGATCATGACCTAAGCGAAAGTCGGACGCTTAACCGACTAAGCCACCCAGGCGCCCCAAGAAAGAGACTTTTTTATGTTTAACTTTGAATATTGGCTAAATAAATCTGAATTTTGGTGGGGTTTTTTTTGTAATTATCCAAAGGTATACCCGAAAAAGGCCCAGTATGATTCACAAAGTAGGGAAAAATGTTAAGAATTAAAGTGTTCAATCCACACATTGATGCACAATTTGTTAAAACTTATCTATTTTAAAATTTATTATCATTTCTTTTCAGTGTTTGTAAAAGGAGACCACGTCATTCTCTAAGACAGGGTTAGTGGGCTTTCTCTATAAAGACCAGACAGTAAACATTTCCAACTTTATGTGCTATACCAGTCTCTGTCACAACTATCCAATTCTGCTGTTGCAGAGTGAAACCAGCCATAGACTGGTAATATCAATCCTAATACACAAACAAGTGGGCCTGGCTGTGCTCCAATAAAATTTTATTTGCCACAGAAGCTTTGAAAGGCCAGATTTGGTCCACAGGGTTTACCAACAATGGTGGGTGCCTAATGGATTACAGGTGGAAAACAGAAAGAAAAAAGAAAGTGAAATGATATGAGAAGGTGGTTCTTGGGTTTTTTGCTACCCCCGCATTGAGATTAGACCTATGGATATTTCTTTCCAAGTATAGAAGACAAGGGCAGTCTGCCAGCAATATGAGCCACTTTGGCATGAACATTATTTTGAGTTAATAGCAAACCAAACCGAGTAGATTCAGGAAAAACTCTTTACCTACCCCTCAGCTTCCTGCTTATATCAGGAAGAGAGCTATTAACAGAGATTCTTTTTTACCTAAGAGACTCATCTGCATAACATGGCAACGTTTGCTTTCCAAACATCTCCTTTTAACTTCCTTCCAATGGTCTTTCTCCCTTTTATATCCTCAGAATTCTACCCCTCTTCTTAGTCATTTAAGTGTCATATTGTCTCACTGCCTTTGGAATTTACATGTCTGTGGAAATTCCCCATATGTAGGCTGCTAAATTTGATTTTCTCCTGTTAATCTGTCTCATGACAGATTTGAATCTTAGTCCAGCTTGAAGGATATCGAAGGGTAGAGGAAATTCTTTCTTCCTGACACCGGCATTACATTATCTTCATTTAAAAGAATTGTATTGTACTCCTATGAATTGTAGCTTACAAAGTATTCTTTAGTCTTCTTTCATGCTCAAACTAAAAGAGTAGAGGTACATTCAAACAAAGAAATGTTTTTTAAATGCTGTCTTCCTCTTTGCTATAATTTTATTAGAAGAGAAATGTGCAGTAGTGTTAGTGGTGATCAATATACTTTTGGCACTCTTTCTCTAGAATGGATACATTATTAATAGATAAATCTGGCAATGAGCAGGAAGTGAGAAATCTGGACCTGAAACAGTGTAGTTCATCCACCAACCCTCCCATTTCTTTCCCCATGTTTATGGCTTATTCTTTGAAAAGTCCTAAATCTTTTTATTATCATTGCAGGGCAAACCCAACACTTTAAAGATGCCTTTTCAGGAAGAGATGCAAGTATTATGGGGTTGCCCCTGGCTTTTTATTATGGAATGTATGCATATGCTGGCTGGTAAGTTGATATCTCTAGATCTGGTGGTTTGTATGGTTCATCAATTCCTTCAAGTAGTTTGGTTAAGTGCCAAGCAAGGTGCTAGCTTAGTGTGAATAACCACAATCCAGCACAATCTAATTTTACTTGAAGTGAGAAAGATGGTGTGGCTCCCTCCACCAGGGCAAGTACTGTGCATCTGACTTAATGTAAACATAACTGAATCTTTCAGTCAAGGTGCCTATTAGATTTAGCCTGATGTTGTAAAAAACAAACAAATGTGGGTCTTAACGTTAGCGAAAGATCTGTGACAGCCATTAAGTCAGGAAACAAATGGGTGAGCCCCAGTGCGTGTCGCCAGGGCCAACTGCTCCATCCCGGTGACTCCTGAGGGGGCTGGACAAGTTGAATGTATACCTCCTGGCTAAGCTTGCCAACATTGTTGCTGAACAAACTCGGATAAACTTGTCACAAGAGAAGCCAAATGCAATGAAGGTTTGGAAAAGAGAAAGTAAGAAATTTGTTTTGAGTGCTGGCAGACAGGGGAGGTAACAGGCTAAGGCTTCACAATCCACCTCTCCACCCATAAGAAGGAAACCTAGAATTTTATAGGGAGAGGTTGGAGACATCTGTGCAAAAGAATGGACCTTGGGTATGTATTCAGTCCATGATCATGAGTAGTGATGGGGACGTGTGGGGTGTGGTCTTCTAGGCATTCCGTTGCTATCAGGGCTTTTCTGGTCTGGTGGTTAGAATGTCCTGGTCATGGCAAAATGTCTTTGTCAATGCCCCAAGAAAGTGTGATAAGAAATAAGCACAATGGGTGTTAGTTAGAGCATGAGTTAAATGGTCTTTTCTATTTCTGGTTTTAACTGCTGGGGTCTATGACTGAGCACTAGGTCTCACTGACATTAAGAACCAATACAAATCACTTATAAGTCTGTTATCAGTGAGGACATAATAGTGCCATGAGAAATTAAAGATTAGTTCCTTGCTTGTCAAACAGCCTTGCAGTTAAAGCTCCAAGGTTGTTTTCGAATACTGCTTAATTGATTTTTCTCTGCTTTCCCATGAGAATGAAATAATTCAGATATAGAAATAAGTAAGATGTTCCCAGGAGGTAAAATGATACTCTAAAGCAGGGTAGAAAAAACTAAGATCATGAAATCATTAGTATACTAGTATACATTGGTATACTACTTAGTATACTAGATAATCTTTTACATTTTACAGGCTCTTACAAATTCCTTAACATTTCCTTCACATTTGAAAAACAAATAATGCAACAATAATGATTAAAATCACTATGCCATGACTACATTTCCTTTGTACATCTCCAACTGTGATAACCATTCTGGTTGAAGCATTAGAACTTTGTTTCTAATTTATGCCTGACTTTATTTAATACCTTGGATAACAATACTCAGGAATAAGAAAGGGATTTTTTACTAATTAAATGTTATTGTTTTAAGATTCACTTGAGGTGACTGTTACAAGAAAGCCCACTAGGCAGAAAAGTATTGTTTAAGTATCAAAATCATTATAGTAAAATTAAATTTCACAGTTTTGGAGTAATTAGTGGCAAAATCTCTCTTTTTTAATTATTTATGGAGCTAATAGTTGTACAACTTTGGGTATGAGAATGTTCTATGAACATAAAAATAGTATCAGGAAACCACACTAGCTCAAAAATTATATAATTGTATTACAAATGCAAATCAAATTTACTTTCATTCCTTTAATTTTAGGTTCTTAGCTTCCAGCTAGTGCATGGAATATACAGATGTATTTCAAAATAAATGGAATGTTTACCACATTAATATCATTGAATTGTGAAAATATAGGATTAGAGGAAAATCAGGAGGGTACAGGAACTTAAAATTTTAACCTAGCTTTGGAAAGACATTCGAAGATTGTAACTCTAAGTATAGTGTAAAATATTTGTATGTTCAAGAAATATTCTTGTAGCCATTGTGTGTAAGTGTTAATCTTGAACCTCACAGTATATTTGAATTCTTTTTAGTTTTGTCCAAAGCACAATGTGGTGCTGGGCAGAGAGAAGAACAGAGTTGTGATCACAGGGTTAGTGGCAGAATGAACTCTTCTATGGCTATTCAGCCTGGATCAAAGCTCTGGTGCCCTGGGGCAGCAGCCAAGCTACTGGGAGGGGAACCCGGAGACCAGAGCGAAGTGGGGAAGTAGCAGAAGCTTTCAGCTGGAGCCAAGTGTTGGGAGCCCAGCAATATTCAATCAGGAATGTGGAATGTGGAGATAGTCACAAGGGAGATTTGATTAATTCTATTGAACGAAGTTTCTTTTGCCTGTGAGTGCCATGCATCTGTTCCCACGGAATCTTAATTCTTCTACCCGACTCACTCTCCCACTACCAGAACCAAATATTCAGGTCGCCTGTTTTATGTAGAACAAACTTCTCCACTTCTGTATGCTTTTGAGAGCTGATCGATTTCTCCATTTCTCTCTTTTTATTTCGAATTACCGAATTATCTTACTATCTGAATATTTCATTTTATTGATGTTGAAGCCAACATGTTCCTCTTGTTAAAACGATTTAAGAAAAACAACTGATACAGATAAACTTTATTTAGCAAATCGTGAAGTGGACAGTTTCTACTTTCAAGAGTCTAGAGAACTGCAAACCGTGATGGAGGATGGGAAACTTTTATAGGATGGGGCTTTTGTAGAATTCTTTCAGAGAATAAGGAACAAGGAAGAGAAAGGTAGAAAATGAATGTGGAACAAGGAAATAAATATAGATCCCGGATTTGGTGTTTGGGGATTGAGTGGCCCTATCTTGGGCCTAGAAATTTATTTCAGCTCTCTGTTTACAGGGAAAGTGGGGTTTACATGAACTTTTGTTTATACTTTTACCCATATAATCTTCATATCCACTCCCTATTTTAAAGAACAGAAACCTGTTGATTTTTTCATATTCTTAAGGGATCAATTCTCATACTGGAAATTAAGGCCAAGATTTTAAATGGAATGTTATCTGATACAAGTGGCTTGTGGAGAGACAGATAAGTAACTGTATTTCTATAACAAGGTTTTTATGCCACCTGAATGCTGCTTTGTGGATAGGCAGAAATAATCTGGTTGTTAATCTATGGCCATCAGTCTTAGAAAAAGGAAGCTGTGTTTAGAAGAAACAGTCTGTCGGTTCGGAGTTCCAGAGGAAAAGTTAATATCTGTCTGTAAATGGAACAAGCTGGAGACTAAAAGAGTTCACAGAGAGGGGTATTTATTCCCTTCCCAAATGTGATCCTGCCTCTCTGACCTCTGTCTGTCTTTCACAGTATAATTACAAGACTAGGTGGTGGAATTATAAATGAGGTACTGTAAATGAGCTGTGCTGCTGCTGTGACAACGTTTGATGCAAACAAAAAGTGTGGGGGGCATTGCAAATCAGTCAGACAGAAGCAGCCACTGTCATCAGAACTCAACCACCTAGGGTGTAAGTAAAAGCATCAAGACCTTTGTTGTCCAAGAGGCCTTGCTCTGTTAGCAATTCAGCTCCTAGATGGTGAATAGGAAAAAGACCCTGCCAAAACTTGGGTCTGAATAGAGTATGTTTTTGGCCATGAAGAGTGCAGAACCTTTTTAGAATGATGAAAACTCCTTCACAGAAACATGATTAGGGGGAAAGAAATCATTAACCCAGCCAGGTCACAGAGTTGGGTCAGAGCAACTTTAATATCATTGCCAATGTCTGCATTCAGAGAGATAGGTCTGCCAGTCTTCCTTGTGACCCAAGGGAACTCAACCAATTTCAGTCCCATATCCTGATCCAAAGCTAAATATTGCTTGGTGGGATTTTTTTTAACTGTGTAATAGAAAGTTTTTCGGTGTCTTTCTTCTCCCTTTTAAATCCTATCCTCAGTGGATTTAGTCTTTCTAAAGCACCTGCTGGGATTATTTTGTACCATTGTGTCAAATCTAATCTATAGAATAAGCTTTTTTAAAAAAATAATTCACATAGTCAGGTACTGAAATGCTTTCAAAGCTTTGTGGTGCTTTTTATACACAATTATGGAAGAGCTGAAACAATAGATCTTGTGAACATTCTCTAGAGGCCTTGAGGAGATGTAAAGCAAGGAGAATGCTATGGACTCATTTCTGGAAACTAGGAGAGCATAAAGGTGTATTTCCCACAGGATGTGAATGTTTGGACCAAAATAAGAAGCTTTCTCCTTTGCTCCCCCACCCTGCCCCAAGCCTTTTCCTTTCCTCTATTCTCTGGAGCTATGGCAAGTATTTGAAATTGTGGCCTCCCTCCCACCCCCCACAAATATTTCCTTTCTTGTTGTAAACACTGTTGGAAAACACCAGTTTCTAAAACAACTATTAAGAAGGAACTGAATATTTTTGACATGAGAACCCTGGAAACGTTTGTGTGTGTGTGTGTGTGTGTGTGTGTGTGTGTGTGTGTGTGGTTTTATTTGGGGGTGGATTTTTTTTTTTATTTTCTTTTTTTCCCCTGCATGTTCTTCCTGTACTTCCCATTGCTTTGGCCTTGTAACAAACACATGAAATCCCTCAGAGTGCATATTCCAGCTATAAGTATTGATTGTTACTTGCCTTCCTGGTATAACTGCAGCCTCTGTTTTTAGAAACTTACTCTCTAGTCATTAAAAAAATATCCTTGGCTGATAACTTTTTAAATCGCCTTTATTGCTACTGTTCTGTCAGCTATTCACGTGTTTCTACCTAAGACATAGTCCTTAAAATATTAGATGTCTTAACCTTGTTAAAAGATAAACTGAAACATATTAAAATTTTTAAGAGTTTATTTGGGCAAAAATCAATTTGAATCAGGCAGCATTTAATCTAGCAGATAGAATGAAGCTCAGAGGAACTGTACAAAATGAAAGACTTTTATAGGCAGAAGGGAGCAGGAACAAAGAAGTTAGTGCAGGCAAAAAAGCAGCTGGCTTTTGCAAGGTTACTTTCATTTAAATAATGGCAGAAATGTATCAGGCGGATTACCTAACTAGTGCTAATCTAGTGATTCCTGGCTGATTGGTTTAAAATTCTGTTACTGGGAGAGCCAAAACTATAATTACCTTGGTTTGGTGTTGTGGAGCTTAGCATAAGTGACTCCATTTTGGGCTTATTGTCTAGTTTTTAACAACCATAAACATCAACTTTCTTTTTTTTTTTTTAATTTTTTTAAATGTTTTATTTATTTCTAGGAGAGAGAGAGAGAGACAGCGTGAGCAGGGAAGGGTCAGAGAGAGGGGGAGTCACAGATTGAAACAGGCTCCAGGCTCTGAGCCGGCAGTCAGCACAGAGCCCGACGCGGGGCTCGAACCCACGAACCGCGAGATCATGACCTAAGCGAAAGTCAGACGCTTAACCGACTAAGCCACCCAGGCGCCCCTTAAACATCAACTTTCTACTTGTGAATTTAGATGGGTTTTTATAAAGATGGGATAAGACAGGTTTTCTCATTTTTGTTTTAAGCTATGAGATACTTTAAAGTCTGTTGGGCTAATATTCTAGCTATTTGGTTTTAGGTTATAGAAGATTTATATTTATAGACCTAAGCTTCTGTGTACCTATATTAATGGTTATTTTACTTTCTATGGAATAAGAGAAGAGTGTTTTGAAAATAAGACTTTTTTTTTTATTTTGTGGAATGCCCTAAGTCTATGAAAATGAAGAAGTAGAAGTATCTTTGTCTTTATATGTTTAGCTCTCCCATTATGATCTTTTAGTTTTCCCATCTTCACAATTTAATTATCTGTATTTGCTTATTTGAAGATGGAGTCTCCCTCAGTCATAACATCTTAGAACCTTAAAAAAGAACTATAAGGGCTTTAAAGAGTATCCAGCAATCCCTTTAGATTGGAAAAAGACGTCAACGATGTAAGGTGGTAGACATTTCTGGGTGGGGAGAGTAGAGTCACAAAGTGAGGGAAAGTATCTGAATTTCTCTAGGGCCATAACTTTAGGGTAATATTTGTAATCCTATGAAACTTGAAAGTGAAATATATTGTGCCTAGAATACTTTTTGTCATGCAAGGGACCTAGAAATGTGTTCAGGATCCAGAAAGCGTTCAGGACCCGGGAAAGGTGTCCAAAATGTTCTTCCCTTTACTTATCCACCTACAGTGTAATGACTAACAGTGTGTCTAAAAATCAACTTCATACGTCTTGTGACTTGAGGTACCTGCATGGACACATGCCAGAAAACAGTGAATTGAAAGGAAGAAGTGCAGGTTAAGAATCTATTATCTTTAATCCCATTGTCGGTTCCTACTTGCCCTCTTGTGTTTCAGTTTCCAAAAGTGAGAAATGCTATCGTCATACTTCTCTTGCCCTATAAGCTTTGACTGACCTGCCACCACTACTAAAATCTGGATTCCTGGAAGCCAGAGGCCACCTGGGACTCAAATTCTGTTCTCATTACCCCCTGACACACTTGGTGCTGCAAGATACTAAACTGTGGCTTCCACCCCTGTGCTCATTTACTATACTCAGTGTGGAGTATCCTTACACCACTCCAGTAGAGCCAGACATTAAGCGTTCGTGAAAACTCACACTTGGGTGATGCTTTATCTAGATAACTTTCCCTGACCTGCCAGTCTGGGTTAGACCTTGCCTCTAGCTCCCATGGTGTCCTGTGCATGCTCCAGCACCATCTCCTACGCTATGTTGCACTATTTTAGGGGCCATTCTATAAACTATGAGCTCCTTGAGGAGAAATGCTGTGGATTTTCCACTTTGTTTTCCCTACATGGTAATCTCCTATATTGTTGGGAATGCAAAAATGAGAAAAAATAGTTTGACAGTAAGCATACACCCACTTGTTGACTCAGTGGTTATATTCTGAGTAAATGCTGAAGAGAAATGATTGTCTGGTCCCCAAAAGAACATGTCTAGGCATATTTATATCTCTTCCTAATAGCTCTAAATTGGAAATAATCCAAAGCCATCAACAGTAGAATGTATAGTGCAAAAATACAATAAAAACATCAATAAAAATAATGAATTATTGCTACATACAACAGCATGGGTGAGGCTTACAAAAATAAAGCCCAGAAAAAAAGCCAGGCACAAAAGAATAAATATTGTATAATAGTAACACAGACAAATATTAATCTAGTGTGATGAAACAAATAAAACTTAGCAATGGTGATAAAAGTCAGAATAATGGTTGCCTTTATAAGAGAATGGAAGAGATGATATTGACTAGAAAAGGCAATAAAGACATCTAGGGTTCTAGGAATGTTTTATCTCTTGATCTTGTTGGTTCCATGGGTGTATAAATACGTAAAAATTCACCAAGTTATAGATTAATATTTGTGCACTTAAATATTCATGTGTTATACCTCTATGAAAATATTAAAAAATAAAAACAATAATGGGGGCACCTGGGTAGCTCAGTTGGTTAAACACCTGACTCTTGATTTTGTCTCAGGTCATGATCTCACGATCATGAGATTGAGCCCTATGTCAGGCTCCAAGCATAGTGTGGAGCCTCCTTGGGATTCTCTTTCCCTTTCTCCTTCTGTTCCTCCCCCACTTGCTCTCTCTCTCTCAAAATAAATAAACATTTAAAAAGCAAAAAATAAAAAATAATAGAAACAACTCAATAAATATGGCTTTCTAAGAAATACAATTTATGGGGGCTTTTGATTATTGGAGATTTTCATCTTAAAAGAATTATTTGTAATTCTTTTTATAAAACTGAGTTTGACTGTACATGTTTAAAATTTGAAACTGGCTTATAGTCATAAAATATATTGATAATTTATACCTTTATAATTTATACCAATCATTTATATCTTTTTAGGTTTTATCTCAACTTTGTTACTGAAGAAGTGGAAAATCCTGAGAAGTAAGTGGCCATAATTACTCTGAAATATTTATGAGGAATAAATTGTAAGGTTATACAGCTGAAAAAGTAGACCTAATAAAGATCCTCAGTGTGGGCTCATTCACTTTATCATTATCATCATCATCATCATCACCATTTTCTTATTTGACTTTATTATAGATTGTATGTAAATAACTTTAAATTCCACATTCAACACCAAATTATCTGATAACCTGAAAGTATAAAGTTTTTATATAGTTATATTTTAGGTAACCAGTTTCATAAAAGCCTGCATATGACTTCACATGGACTCTCAGCTGCCCACAAATGTTCCATAAAAAGTGAGCTCCAAATACTGATTATTTCTAATACTTCATGTGTTTTTTCATAGCTATTCTATTATAGAGACTAATGCAATTAATGAACAATTAGTTATGAAAGCCTAGATGTGACTGTAGAATATTATAAGAACTTATAAATTTTAGTAGCTGGATGATTGCTTTTACTTTTTGTTCCTAGGTAATACTTATGATGATTAGATAATTTGATGATGATTTGTTTAATATCCCTAAAATGAATTATTTTCAACTCAGAACTTAGGCAAATGAATTTTGTGATTTGCATATAAGCATTTGACTTTATACAGCAAAGTAACATAAAATATGGGCAGAAGAGGGAAATATTAAGATGTACAGTGTAAGATAGGGATAGAATTATAAAATAATTTAATTTATCTGACATTGATTATACATCTACCATGTTTCAACCGTTGTGGTAGAAACTTCTTACATAATGATAAATCTTGTATTTAAGATTTTATGGTCTAGTCAGTTAGTCAAATGTGTAAGCAAATGAAAGTAACACAGTATAATGCCATCATAGATTATTTACTCATTTGACAGAGAGTAAAGGAGGAAATACATAACTCTGTCCAGGGGGAATGTACCTATATAGAGTCTCAAATGATGAGGAGGTGTTTTTTGGAGGGAAGAAAGTGGGAAAGAATGAAAAAAAAGAAAGGAAAAGGGAGAAAGACTTCCAAGAAACAAAACATATATAAAGATGAGTCACTGTGAATTGCCTACACATCAGAGACTAGGCTCAGGTGTTCACCATTCACTTTAAAGTAGACTGAGAAATCCTGGTACTACTTCTGTCTGTTGGGGGATAGCAAGCCAGTTAGATCTGGCCAAGTGCCAGGGTTGTCAGAATTTTGAACACACAAACCAGCAACTGAGGTTAAAATGACATTTCATACCATCTGATTCAACTGTTATGCAAGTAATTATGTAATTGAAACGTGTGAAAAGTTTATTTTATTGAGAAATATGAGAAATTTATAACAATACCTTCAGATTTAGAACTGGAATTATGGCACATGTTTACCAGTAACTAGTATCTTCTAGCATTACTTTGAAATGATAAACCACTTTACGACTCTAAATCTATTGATTACACAGATAAATAGATTGCCCTATTTATTTTTACTATTTTTGAGAAGTGTGTAAATGGCAACACAGAGAAAAGACTGTTCTTACTGGGTTTTATATTTGTAAAATATTTATTGGATTTCCATTGTGAAAAAGGGATTACTATGGTTTAAATCTTTTAAGTTTAAAGCATTTTAAAGAGCTCAGTTACTAAAAACAAGTATCAGAGAATATTTCTTATGAAAAAAACCCCCACAAACTGTAGGTTTGTGGATGTGACCTATAATGTAACATTTATTATATGGTACATCAATGGCATAGAGATAGTTCACGTTCTCCTGTAATGGTATTTAACGGTGTAAGTATAGTTCTATTTGCTGTGTATACAATACTACTGTGTATATTGAACATATTTTAAACCTATTTATGCCACAGTTACCCTGATCTGAATTTCTTATGTATTCTACAAGAATACATTCAAGGATGCTCTCTCTCTCTCTCTTTCTTGAGGGTCTTACTTATTATCACTGGTTATACCAGATGAAATATTTTCATATTCTGGAAATTATGATTTTGCAAACTTCATTAAATATTTCTAGAATACTTTTTATTTGATATTTTAAGGTCTGAAACTAAGGAAATTCTCAGGAGAAATTAAGTAAGAATCTGTGGCATTTGGGGCCAAGATAATTAATAACTGCTCAGACTTAAGGTAAAGAAGGAAACCTCTGGCATCTTTTTGTTCTGTTATACAGAGTACTCAAATAATTCAATTTTTGCCTGCAATATTCTGTGTAAAATTTAGCTAACAAATTTATTTTCTCAAAATCAGAATATGAGAAATCCACAAAATCCCCTTAATGGAAAGTAAAGATTAAATTTGTACTATGTGTTTATCAAACCAAAGAAATTCAAGGTTTTAAGCACCTTATTCAGTGTCTTAATTTTAAAAAATGACATTTCCCTATAATGTTGGCAATCAGTCCAGGTCTTTTAAAATGAAATCGTTTTTTTTTTTGTTTGTTTGTTTTGTTTTTGTTTTGTTTTGTTTTTTTGTTTTTGTTTTTTTTTTTTTGCATAAGGAACAATTTGGGAAATATTTATGGTTGAACATAGAGAACAGATGGTAAAATTATGTGAACCTCGTCCAGATGTGTAATTTGTATTATTTTGTAGGTAGATACAGATCCAAAATATCTTTAGTTACAAGGAAGAATAATTAGAATTCCATCTCCTTTGTGACATGCCAAGATAAATGTGTTTCCCAATCAGTCACGGGTGCATGTGTCCAGGTGTGCTGCAACGTGTAACTTTCTGGCAGCTGGTGAAATGAATCATCAGCTGAACATACAACACCTTTTACTATCCTCCTCCACCTAGGCAATAAAAGTTTGCTACAATTGTGACCTAATAGAAAAGTGATCATTAATTTAGATCACTGAAAATAACAATGTGATTTAAAATATATAGAATGTAGAATAAGGTTTCATAATCACAACTGACTGCCCTTTACCTAGAATTTAATTTCAGTGGCAATTTTTTCAAATTCCCTAACATCACTCTATGGAATAATTTCTGAACTTCTGTTATGAGCATGACTTATAGAATAGCTCCCTAAGTATTATAACAAGTGAGAGGTAAACTGAGAGATTAATGGAATCACAATAACTAGCTCGTGACTTCTTTCTTCTGTTAGGTCTCAGTTTCTCTTTAATGCTTATAAAACACTAATCCTAAAAATTGGGGCAAAAATCTCTGCTATTATGATTACAATCATAATGTTAAAAATGTTCCCAATGTCCTTTTATCATGTTTTCTTCTCTAAGAATGGCTGTGGATCTATGGGAGGGAGTAGCAATCTTTTAAGAACCATTTAACATATTTATGTAAAATGACAGTACTTATCACTGAACTTTTTGTAATAATATAAAAATATTACTTTTAATAATTTTCTATAGCATGGTGGCTGACTCTGTAAAGTAAAAATAGTATTTTGAGGAGCACAAATGTCCAAAGTTTGAACCATGAAGTTGATAGAATCCCAAAGAATCTCTTAATTTTACAATGTCTCCCCATCAAATGAAATGGGTAGTAGAAATGATTACTAATGGGTACTTTTGTTTTTAAAAAACCAGTGTTTTTATTTGCAAATATAATGAGTTTTGCCTTTTGACATTACTTGTGTGGTGACAGTGGATTCTAACATTGTTCACAAAGTTACACAGCACAAAGAACGTATCATTGAGATGTATAAAGTTTGTAATCCTGATCTTTAATTAATAAATCATGTCTTGTGTTGATGAAAGTCAAGAAATGAATTGATTTACCTTGACCTTGGGGGTCTGAGGTTAGTCACTCTATCTATTAGACTTGTTCCAGTGTGTTCTTCTCACTTCATTTATTCCTTCTGTCTTGAAGAATTGGAAATAATAGACTTGGTGAAAGTCAGTAAAGCTTGATATCATCAGTCATTTTTGAAGAACAGGCTATCAACATGGTCTGAATAATCAACTTTAATAGAAGGTTTAAATAATCAGAGTGTCATGTTTAATTAATAGTTTGCCTGCTTCCAATTTATATTAATTGATGCCTGAAAGTCATCACACCTTGTACCAACGATAACTTAGAAGAAAAGAAACTTGGCCTGGGAAAAATGCCCAAAGACCTTTAAGGCAGTGTAATTAATTGATCAGACTGACTCAAAAATGGTCCATAATCACCTTATTTACATTCAGTTCAAATGTTGCCATTCTAAATTCTTAGTATATATGTTTTTATCCCTATTGACCTGTATTAAGCCAGTGTAAAGGCATTTATTAATAACATTATACTGTTTCACAAAGCCCATTGCTTATAGGACATGTAAAATTGTTAACCTGATAAAAGGAAAACACAGCAAAACAAAACAATCTAAAAATCTTGCCTAAATGTGCTATAGCTAAATTGCACGACAAAGCATTAAAGGTTAATTTGAAGTCTTCTATTTTGCATTTTTGGCATTTTAAGGATGCAGTTTTCTATCAGAGACAAATCATCTTTATACGCTTTATAGCTTTTTAACTTAACAGTTGCTAGAAAATAGCATATAATGTCTTGACTATATATGTGTAGATTACACTAATGTTGTGTTTTTTCTTATTACAAAGCAAGGTTCTCTGCATTCTTAGAATATTTCTAGAGTTTATTTTACAAATACTCAAGTAATATATGTTCTTAAGGTATATAAACTAATTTCCCAGAAAATTACCTCATTGTAAATAAATGCATAGAGAAAAATCTGGATTAGTAAGCAGAATTAATTTGTAAAAGTATTTGCTGAATGAATCTTTCAAAAATGATTCATTCATTTTATACTAGTTGAGTTAATATATAAAATTGAATTTATACCCATTACAAAGATTTCTTTGGCAAAATGAGGCATCACTTTATTAATAACAATAAGGAATTGTTAGAATTATCTTTTTTTTTTTAATGTTTTTTTTTTTTAATTTATTTCTAGGAGAGAGAGAGAGAGACAGCGTGAGCAGGGGAGGGTCTGAGAGAGAGGGAATCACAGACTCTGAAACAGGCTCCAGGCTCTGAGCTGGCAGT